ACCTTGGCATCGTCTGTTTTAATGGCTTTAGCTTCCACCCATTTGGAAACGTAATCCACCGCAAGGAGGATGTAGATGTTACCTTGAGAGTTTGGGAAAGGGCCCATGAAGTCAATACCCCATGCATCGAAGATTTCACAGAAAAGCATAGGGTTTTGAGGCATCTCGTTTCTCCTTGAAATAGTGCCCGCTCTTTGGCAATTGTCACAAGCCCGACAAAAACCGTTTGCATCCCGAAAAAGACTTGGCCACCAAAAGCCACTTTCAAGTATCTTCATTGCCGTCCGTTTCGGGCCGAAATGTCCCCCACAAGCATAAGAATGGCAAAACTCTATAATGTGAGCTATCTCATATTCGGGGACACATCTTCGGATTATTTGATCGTTACAATGTTTCCACAAATATGGGTCATCCCACACATAAAGTCTTGAGTCCATTTTTAATTTTTCTTTTTGAGATTTTGAGAATTGTGGAGGAAATTTGCCGGAAACAAGAAAGTTTACAATGTTTGTGTACCATGGTTGTATGACTTTGATGGAGAAAAGAGTTTCGTCCGGGAATTCGCCTTTGATGAGATTTGTGTGAAGATCTTCAATGTCTTTGTGAGGGATGAGTCGGCTTAAATGATCGGCCACCAAGTTCTCCGCTCCTTTCTTATCTTTAATTTCTACATCAAACTCACTCAATAGAAGGACCCATCGAATGAGTCTTGGTTTAGCTTCCTTCTTGGTCATAAGGAACCGGAGAGCGGCATGGTCGGTGTAAACAATAACTGTTATGCCCCTCAGACTTTGATGAAATATAGTTTTGATGATGCCATCCTCCCTTGATGTTTAGATTTTCTATTCAATATTGCATGATCATTGTGTGAACTGAAGTATGGTCCAAAAATTAGATACGAAAGAGGAAGAATTTAAAAGAAAGGTGACAAAATTAGTAATGTATTAATTGTGTCACAAAATAAATATACTGGAAATATAAAATGCAATAAGGTAAATCCCTACCTTTCAAGGATATTCAAATCCAATCAGTATATTTATTTTTGTTACAGAATTATTCTTGTCACTAGTAAAATTGTGACCAATCTTACATGTACATCTTATGTACCAAATTAATTATAGTGGAAATATAAAATGCAATAAGGTAAATCCTTCTTTACCTTAAAGAGGATATTTAAAATCCTACCAGTAAAAATTAATTTGGTACACAAGGACCAGAGTCACAAATTTACTTGGTAAGCTGTATAATCACGAGACACTCCAGAGTTGCCTGTGAAGACAAAACCCCACTAGATGGTGAATAGTGCGTAAAAGACCTAAGGAATGGGTTTACATTTCCTGCGAAGCAAGTTGATCCAATTGCGTTTGAAGATAAGCTGCTCCAACACAAGAAGACGAAAGTACAAGAAGCCTCAACGACATAGATTAAATCCTCTCAACCAACGGAGGAGATTAATCAACCAGAGATGCCTATAAATTCGGGCATAAGCATGAGAAGAAAAACAAGCTCCTGAGTTCACTAAGCAGAGAAATCATACTACACAAAGAAGATATCCAGCAAAAGAGAAAGTGTTCATTAAATTCTGCTCTCTGCTTAGACTCATGCTTCACTAAACTTTCTAGAACAGAAATCCTCATTGATATACTCAGAAAGTTTAGTTTTTAGTTGGAGGCTAGAAATTTGTTTCATACTGAAACTGTTGTAAACACTTCTAAGGATAGCGTCATCTAAGTCCTTAAGTGTGGTAGAATAGGATAGAGTACCTTTTGATCCCCACTGGATCAATTGAGAAAAACCTAAAGGATTGAGTAGCTTCGAGTGGTGTGTACTCTTAGTGAAACACCTTGAAGTCTGAGCAAGTTGATGATAACAGCCAGACAGTCACTAATTGTATTGGGCTGAATACTTTAGTGGAAATCCATCTGAAAGAGGATGGGACTAGATGTAGGAGGATTACACCACCTCTGAACCAGGATACATCTTGTGTCAATCTATTTTCTCTGATCCAAAATCATCAGATGACCTCACTAAAGGATCTCTGATCCAAGATCATCAGAGGACCTCACTTAAGGGTCTCTGACTCGAGGTCATCAGAGGACCTCACTGAAGGGTCTCTGATCCAAGATCATCAGAGGACCTCACTGAAGGGTCTCTGATCCAAGATCATCAGAGGACCTCACTGAAGGGTCTCTGACTCAAGCTCATCAGAGGATATCACTGAAAGATCTTCAAAGCAGAGCTTCCATTCTACTATACCCTTCAGTCACTAAATATAAGTTGTCCAAAAATACAAATACTTCTTCCCTCTTATCCTCTCATAAGAAAGTTACCATTCACAGTCTAAAAGAGGTCATAACTTCCGCTGCGATCCTAAATCTCCCAAAAGATTTCTGATCATCATACCTATGAGGGAAGCTCTTTAAAAGTTCAAAAAGCTTTGAAAGTCTATTCACCCCCCCCCCCCCTCTAGACTTTCACCTCTATCAGGGACCATCAATAACTTTCGTTCCAAGAAGGTAGGAACGAAATTTTTCCAAAGCAAAGACCACCGCTAGCATTTCCTTCTCGGTGGTGGAGTAGTTCTTTTGAGCTTCATTGAGGGTTGAGGAGGCATAGTAGATGACATGAGAAGCCCTTCCAACCTTTTGGCCTAAAACAGCCCCCACCGCATAATCACTTGCGTCACACATGATCTGAAAAGGAAGAGACCAATCGGGAGCTTGTATGATGGGAGCGGTTACCAACCTTGCCTTCAAAGTGTCAAAAGCTTCCTTACATTCGGCATTGAGATCAAATTTCACCTCCTTTTGCAAAAGTTTGCATAAGGGAGATGAGATTTTGGAGAAGTCTTTGATGAACCTTCTATAGAATCCGGCATGTCCAAGGAAAGAGCGAATGTCTTGTACATTTGTTGGGTATGGGAGTGTTTGGATGACATCAATCTTGGCCTTGACATGCATAAATTATAAACAAGGCAATGATTGGTGTTTTTTTGGTATCTCTTACTATCAGTATGTATGACAGTTTAGATTGTGACATTCATGAACAATAGAATTATAAAAAACAATTAGATTTCTTACAAAAAACAATTAGATGTTTATATAAATTTATGATACCCCTTAATTATCAAATTTTATTAAATAAAAAGGGATGGGAGGAGTATTACATAAAACCATGAATCCATGATACTGCTTTTAAGTCATACAAAGTATTATTATTGGGCATCTTCCTAACGCGCAACGCACGTAGGACAACTAGTCATAAAAATATGAACCGAGTATTAAACTATGACATCAACATTTTGAATTACTCACATCGAGTTTAGGATGGAATTTCGAATTTTAATATGACATTAAAGCTAAACCCATACTATGATGTGGCTCCCTATGAAAATGGTAACAATGCATAAACATTTACAATAATGATAAAATGATGTTTTACAATAGTGATAAAATGATGAAAAATGAAAGATGCGGGATCCATATGAAGTGTCTGATTGTGAAAGGAAGCGTTGAAGTATTTCTGAGGTAAAATATGAATTAAGTAATTTTAAGATTTCGAATTAGGAAGTTTTCTTTTGGATTGTTTCCAGTCCCAGACCAGATCAAATCAGACCACACCAGACTTCCGTAGTTATAAAATACATAGAGACCAGACCAGTTCAGACAAGACCAGATTAGATCAGACCAACAAATTCATTCCAAAAGATAACATCTTTAGTCCTTTTATCAGGTTCATTGATGATTGTAATTTTTCCTTTAATAATATTATTCTTATTGGTATTACCTGGTATTATACTTCCTCCATATTTTAAAGTTTCTTACAATTTCCTATTTAGAATGTATTTAAAGGTTTGTTACACTTTCCTTTTTTGGTAAATTTTTGTTTTAAAAATATTCATTTATCCTTACTTTTTCTACTTTTTATCTTTTTTTACCTTTTTTCCAAAAAGAAAATCTTCTTTTTCCCACTTTTTGGGGAGTGTTTGCGATTGCTTCTACCTCTAAAAAGTGATTTTTTAAACTGATATTGGGAAAAGTGATTAATAATAAAAGTTGGTAGTGTTTGAGAAAAAAGTGATTATGAAAAAGTAAATTTTGGTAGTATTTGATATAATAAGTGATATTTGTGTAATAGAAAAAGTGAAAAGCAGATTAAAGCACCTCTCAACCTACTTCCAACTTTTAGCTTTTAAGTGATTATTTAAGCAGAAGTTGTCATTTGAAAACACTCATTTCAGCTTTTTTTAAGCCAATAGCTGGAAAACAAATATTTTAATCTTTAATAAACACTCCCGTTCATCTTCTTTCCTGTTTTTTCTACACTATTCCCTATACCTACTATTTTGGAAAGGAGTATAACGAGAGTTTAAAATGTCATTATTCTTTTTTTGCTAGACTTTTTAGTCTCTTTTATAGTATCTGTTCAATACATCATTGTTAAATGTCAGTATCTTACAGTATAAAATGTCATTATAATCACGGAATCACCCATAGTAGAAAAGAAGATCTATTAGTGAATATGATCACCCCATAATAAATAATAATAAATTAATACTCCGTAACTACATTATTTTGTTTCGTAAGGAGTATAATTCATTGTTTTTTTTGGGAAAGTTCCCGAAATGGGACCAAAAACATGTCAAAATTCCAAAATAGGATTGTCATGTTTTTATTTCTAAAATAGGAGTAATTACTGTCAAGTTTGAAAAATACTGCCATGTTTAAAGTCTGATACTGCCAAAATATGACAGTAATTAGTCCCATTTTGGGAATTAAAAACATGGCAGTCCTATTTTGGAATTTACAAACATTTTTAGTCCTATTTAAAGTAAATTATCTCTTTTTTTTTTGACAAGAAGTACAATTCATTGCATGTTAAGGAGTATATTTAGAGAATTACAAAAAGAAAATGTAATCTGGATTTATTGTTTTGGCCATCCAGTCCATATTTGTCAATTTATTAATTCAAATGCATTCCGTTACCAGTACAACTCCCATCTCCTTACCACTCTGCGCTTTTGTTTTTGCCTCTTCTGCTTCTCCTCCTACTTGGGCTGCTACTCGCAAGCTTCGTCGCGCCAGGTTTTTGGATTTTGAACGGAATGGAAGGCTTGATCGCGCTTGTTAACCGGATTCAGAAGGCATGTACGGTCCTCGGAGACTATGGCGATGATCGGACTTTGCCTACTCTCTGGAACGCTCTCCCCACCATTGTTGTCCTCGGCGGCCAAGTACTTACTCTTCCTCTCTCACACACTTTGTATCTAATCTATCTAATGTATATACATTTATGTGTTTGTATATGCACTATGCACATTTGATGCGTCATTTTTCTGTCCGTATGCTGTATGCTGTCACTGCTTCGGTGCTTCCTATACTCCTGCTAATATATGCATCAGGATTTTTGTGTGTGCATATTCATGTGTGCATGTATTGATCGAACAATCACATGTGTTCATTTCCGGTGCTGTTAATGCGGTATGGATCCATTGTTGAATGCTTGTGCTTGGGTGTAGAGTTCCGGGAAGTCGTCAGCTTTGGAGAGTATTGTCGGGCGTGATTTTCTTCCCAGAGGATCAGGTAACCGGGAGTGAATTTTAGTAGTTTGGAGATTCTCTTGGTCCTTCCAACTTCTTTATAAATTCTGTGTCTTAATCCACTGGCAATCTGATGCTTAGGAGTTAATCAAACAAAGCAACAGTATAGCATACAATCTACTATGTACTAATTATGGGTATGTTGTTCTTAGACACAAATTTGTGCTTACATTGTTACAATACAATGCGGAGTACAAATTATAGGGATATATTCAAGCTCTGCTGATCTAAGTTAATCATTGTGTAGTGGTAGTAATAATCTATACTACAGCAGTAATGTGTTAACTTAAGATATTACATCTACAAATATGTACCCTATTTTCTTCTGCATATTGCTATAATGCTCTCTTTGGCAGGAATTGTGACCAGAAGGCCACTAATTTTGCAACTATGCAAGACGGAGCCAGGACAGCAGGACTATGCGCAATTCCTTCATTCCGGAAATAAAAGATATACAGACTTTTGTAAGTTGTTTATTTTGCAGATATATGAAAATTGTATGTATAGACAAAAGGAATAATTGTGTATTAGGTTTTTCCTGTACTTATTTCAAATATGCTAGCATCACTTCTGGTTTTATATACTACGTATTAATTTGCTAGTTTTGTAAACAAATAGACATATGTACATGAACATGCAACTGGTTTAATTTCTTTATCTAATCTTTCCTTATTCTCTTTGTTCTTCTGACTTGTGAAGCATTGGTCACAAAGGAGATTCAAGATGAAACTGACAGGGTTACGGGGAAGCCAAATCACATTTCTCCTCTTCCTATTAATCTTAGCATTTACTCTCCAAATGGTACTTTTATTTAACTTGACCTGTCTTTTGAATAGACATCATTTTATCCTGTTTCCTGAATGCATTCATGATTCATCCACAACTGTGGATCCAGCCAGTCTTAATTCCTAACTGGTTAGATGAAAGTGTTTGCGCTCTTCCAGTTCAGTCTTTGCTCCCTGCTTCCCTTTTGTGTTGTTTATGTATACAGCACTCAACAAACTTGCTGTTTGTTCTTGTTATATCTCACACTACTTCATATGTTATATATTACTTGCAGTTGTTAACTTGACATTGGTAGATTTACCTGGGCTTACTAATGTTGCTGTGGGTATGTTTCTGCAGACTTAGAAGCTGTTCTCTTCGCCTGATCTGAATGTTTCTGATCTGAATTTTTTAAGTTCTGATCTGATCTGATCTGAATTTTTCTGATCTGATCTGATCTGATCTGAATCTGTCTGATCTGATCTGATCTGATCTGAATCTTTCTGATCTGATCTGATCTGATCTGATCTGATCTGAATCTTTCTGATCTGATCTGAATGTTTCTGATCTGGTCTGATCTGATCTGAATGTTTCTGATCTGATCTGAATCCTTCTGATCTGATCTGAATCTTTCTGATCTGATCTGATTCGAATAATTATAATTATAATTATAATTATAATTATAATTATAATTATAATTATTATAATTGCAATTACAAATATAATTTAAATAAAATTATAATTATAATTGTAATTATAATTACAATATTTATCTCTATAATTGTAACTATAATTATCAATATTATTATAATTACTCCGTAAAATAATTACAATAGTAATAATAATAATATTAATATTAATAATTATAATAAAAATAATAATTATAATCATAAATTATTATAATAATATAATTAGAAGTATAGTTATAATTATTATAATTATAATTAATAATAATTATAATTATATTAACATTAATTATAATATTATAATTTAATAATAGTAATATAAATACAATTAATATTATTATAACGATATTATTATATTAATATTATTATTACAATAATATAATAATATTATTATTACAATAATATAATAATAATAATATGATTATCATTATAATTAGTATTATATTATTATAATATTATATTGTAATTATAATTATAATCATAATTATAATTATGATTTTAATTATAATTATAATTATTATAATTATAATTAATTACAATTATATTTATAATTAATTATAGATATAATTATAATAATTACAATTGATTATACTTATAATTATAAGAATTATACTTATAATTATAAGAATTATAATTATAATTATAATTATAATTACATATAATTATAATATAATATTATAATAATATTAATCATATTATTATTATAATATTGTAATAATAATAATAATAGTCTTCTTAACAATTGCATTTATATTACTATTATTATATTAAAGTATTATAACTATTATTAATTTCTTTTTTATCATATTATTATTAATATTATTAATAATAATTATATAATAATAATCATAATAGTAATAACAATATTAATAATAATAATTAATATTTAATATAATAATAAAAATGATAAATCATGTTTGAACTTTTCTGATCTGATCTGAATGTTTCTGATCTGATCTGAATGTTTCTGATCTGGTCTGATCTGATCTGAATCTTTCTGATCTGATCTGAATCTTTCTGATCTGATCTGAATCTTTCTGATCTGATCTGATCTGATCTGAATTTTTCTGATCTGATCTGATCTGATCTGAATTTTTCTGATCTGATCTGATCTGATCTGAATTTTTCTGATCTGATCTGATCTGATCTGAATAAAATAAGAATAAGCAATAAGTAATAAGAATAAGACGAACAGAACAGCACCTTAGTCCGTTAGTATATCTTCTTTACTCTTTATTCAATTCTATGATCATTGATATATTTGGCAGATGGCCAACCTGAGAGTATTGTTCAGGAAATTGAAGACATGGTTAGATCATATGTTGAGAAGGTAGTAATACCTGAAGAGACTTTACCATTAAATTTACTAATTTATATCATTCATGAATGAATAGGTCCAGGGCATTTCTATGAATGATCTTCTGGAACTATATTTCCTAGGATACTAGGGCCATTTTTCTTGACAGGATATTGGTTTCATGTAATGATGTAGTAACATGTTGAACATAGAGTTAAGTCAGTTAACTAAGGTTTCTGATGAATAGATCAAAACTTGATTTACGAGATTTTCTACCGTCTATTTTGCATTCAAGTTTCAATTATTCTAGTATTAACTACCTACACATCTCATGAGTTACACTGCATGCTAATTGGTTGATATTTCTCAAACTTTACTGTGAAGCCAAACAGCATTATCTTAGCCATAACTCCGGCCAATCAAGATGTTGCGACATCTGATGCAATTAAGATAGCTCGAGAAGTTGACCCAACAGGTATTATCCAATTCCATAACTGGGGTTTGAGATGTCTTTGAAGCTTGAAGTTTGAAGGCGATCTGTTTATTCTTTTCATCATCCCATAAACCAATAGGACATTACATCTTCCTTGTGCAGGTGAACGTACCATTGGTGTGTTAACAAAACTTGATTTGATGGACAAGGGAACAAATGCATTGGATGTAAGCCTTAATTTTTTTAATAACATGGCCTGTTTGTGATGTCATGACATCCCTTTTTGAGTTCCTTGAAGTTTCAGCCTTTTCACTTCAGCTTCTGTTGGTTTTCTCTATTCTTTTCTTACGTCCACATAAAATGTTGACCATATATGATGTGCTTGTAAGCCTTCACACGGTGGACTGTCACTTTTCTATCACTGCTGGGGTGTGCTTGTATAGTTGTATGCATGTGTGTAAGGTCCTATCTGCTTTTCTCATTTCTCACTTTCATGGTGTAATGCCATTTGATGAAGGTTCTTGAAGGAAGATCCTATCAGCTTCAACATCCTTGGGTTGGAGTTGTGAATCGTTCTCAGGCCGACATCAACAAAAATGTTAACATGATTGTTGCCAGGCGTAATGAGCGAGAATTCTTTGCTAAGAGTCCAGAGTACAGACATTTAGCCAGCAGGATGGGATCGGAATATCTTGCAAAGATTCTTTCACAGGCATACATTATAACATTCTTTCATCCATAAACCTTGATACTAGGAAATTCCGTAACAAATTAAAAGAGATGGAGAGATGGATGGATACTCATATGTCATGATTTTGAACCCTGCTTTTGCAGCGCCTAGAATCTGTGATCAAGGCCCATATACCGGCTCTTTTGTCTCTGACTAATACAAGTATTGATGAGGTTGAAACGGAGTTGAGTCGTCTTGGCAGACCAGTTGCTATTGATGCAGGAGTAAGAGTGTTTTTCAGTTTTATCTATAAACTCCGTATACTCAATCTTTGGGTCTCGACTAAAAAAGTCTGTACTTATTTTCTACCATTATAGGCCCATTTATACACTATTTTGGAACTCTGCCGAGCATTTGATCGGGTATTCAAGGAGCACCTTGAAGGAGGGTAATTGTTTTGTGTTATCTCTTTACGCCTTTGTTTGTGGTTAAGGTGATACTGGAAAAAAAAATTGAGAGAGGAATGAAAAATGTATTTGTTTAGTAACAAGACAAATGAGGAGAAAAAATGATAGATCCACAGCGTTTTTTCACTCCTTCACTCGGAAAAGAATATGATTGAAAAGCATTCCTTTTCAATTTCTACCTAATTCTTCTTTATTTTCTCTACTGCCAAACAATACACATAATTATCCCATTTTCCCATTATTTTTCTCTTCTCCATCTTTGCCTCTGTCATTTCTTTATTCTCTATTCTTCATTTAACAAACCAAAGGCTACTCGAAATTCATGACACGCCTATATATATGGATGAGAAGAAAACCCTTGAAATCCAATCTGGGATTGGACTGGTTATGAAAAAGCCACTGATTGAACATGGTTTAGAATTTCCCCGATCTGCTTTTTGGGGACTGAAAGATTAAGCACTCCTCCATTCCTTTTTTTTCTTTTATTTATTTTTATTAATGTATTACTGTCATATGCTATGTATGTAGGAGGCCTGGTGGGGATCGGATATACGAGGTATTTGACTACAAGCTCCCCGTTGCTTTGAGGAAACTTCCATTGGATAGCCACCTCTCGTTGCAAAACATTAGGAAAGTTGTCTCTGTGGCTGATGGCTACCAACCTCATCTGATAGCACCAGAGCAAGGCTACAGACGCCTCATAGATGGTGCCATTCATTATTTCAGGGCACCTGCACAAGCTTCAGTTGATGCAGTGAGTGCTAATGTTGCTCATTGATTGTTCTGAACGCCACTTCCGCTATTGTTGCTACAGATACATTCATAATGTAAGTAGAGCTTTTGATTGGAAATGTGACTTTTGCCATGTAGGTCCACTTAATCTTGAAGGAGCTCGTCAGGAAATCAATTGGAGAAACTCAGGTTTGTGATGTCAAAACGAACCCTTAATTGAATGTTTCGCCCTTAATCAATACTCCCTCCACGTAGAAAAAGTAGGAGAAAAGTGTACCAAACTTTTAAATAGAATATTACCTATAACCTTTATTTGGAAGGAGTAGAATAATCAGAAGAGAAGTGGGTAGGTAAAACAAAAGAAAAATTAGTGAGGAGAGATAGAAGTTGGTTGATTGAAGGGAAATAGAGTCGGTAAACGGAATTATTATAAATAAATGCTGTTGAGAAAAGGGAAAAAGGGGATTTTGAGAAAAGGGAAAAAAGAGAATGAATCTTATTATAGAGTGGATTTCTCCACATCTCTACTCACCAGAGCATGGAAAGCCTCACCTCCAATCTCCTTCCCTTTTATTTCCCATCAAACTATAGAACTGCCTTGAAATTCTTGTTTTCTGTTCATTTCTCTACTAATTTTCCTCTTCCTCTGATCCTCTCTAGCAATGTAACTGACATCTGGAATGCAGGAACTGAGGCGCTTTCCCACTCTTCAAACAGAGATAGCAACTGCAGCATGTGAAGCATTAGAAAGGTTTCGTAATGAAAGTAAAAAGACTGTATTGCGGTTGGTAGACATGGAAGCTTCTTATCTAACAGTGGATTTCTTCCGGAAACTCCCAGAGGAAGTTGACAAGGAAGGAGGCTCAACCGTTTCCACTAATGATAGTTCCACAGAGGAACACTTTAAAAGAATAGGCTCAAATATCTCTGCCTACACCAGAATGGTGTGTGAGACCCTCCAGCAGAGCATACCAAAAGCTGTTGTTTACTGTCAAGTTCGGGAAGCCAAACGGTCTTTGCTTGATCATTTTTATGCTCAACTCGGTAAAAGGGAGGTACTGCATCCATTTTTTTCTCTTTTTTTTTTTAAAAAAAAACACGATAGTAAATGACATTTTAATATTTTATTGTCTCAAGTGTAGACTTGCGGCTATTTAGTCTCTCATTGCTAACTTTAACAAAAACCATCCCTAGTTATATCTCTTGATGGCAGTCCTAAATCTAGGGCTAGAATTGCTACAATTGGGGACTAAAGTTGCATGACTAAGGACTAAAATAGTACATCTCCTTTTATCTTACTTATTTTTAAAAGTTTGTTCAATAATTTCACTTAAAAGCTCTCCATAAATGGAAGTTTTACTCCCTCTTTTCTGAATATAAAAAAAAGATAATGTTTTATCAAGACTATACTTAGAGGAGATAAGGAAGGAAATTCTAATCAATTAGGCTGTGGATTAAAAAGTGTTGATAAGAACTGTTGTGTGAGTCTCACGGTAAGCCATTGTAAAAATGTAGTTATTTAAAAGTTTGGGTAACACTTTTTGACACGGTATTGAAAAGTATTGCTATTGTTTTTTAACTTATTACATTTCTACTCTGTCATTGACTCACTGAGACTATCTCAATGGTGATAGTTTTTTAATGTGTAGAAAAATGTTGCTGTTTTCTTGCTTAACACCATTACATATAATAATATATACGGAGTAATGGTGTTTGATGGTAGGAGCGAGAGCTTTGTGAGATGTTGGATGAAGATAGGGTGCTGATGGAAAGGAGACAGAAATGCTCCAGAAAGCTTGAGCTTTACAGATGGGCGAGAGACGAGATAGATTCACTGCTGTTGGCAAGATGAAATGAAATGAGATTGTGATGACATGTTTGTTTAAAGTTGTCCTCAAACCATACTGCTTTAATGCATATTGTTTATTTGGGGTTCAAGTTAGGGGATCTTGCAGCACCTAGTATTTTGTTTATTTGGGGTTCAAGTTAAGATCTGTAAAAGCATATGTAGGTGTTAGGTAGTGTGTTACTTGAAACTGGTCTGTCTTTGTTGTTGCTTTCTATTTTTTTGTCATTCCATTGTCAACTATTGTGGATTTACCAGTAATGAAAAACATTATTGATATTATTAGTTTTTCCATGTTTATGTTTTTACTTTTAGGTTGTTTTTACAGTGTATTGTTATTGTAATTGCACATTTATGGTGCAACTTTTTATTTTTCTAGTTTGTTTAATTTCATAACTTTGAAACAATCCTGAGTAAGAGTCAATCAATGAGTAGTCAATGACCAACAAAATATCATGGAAGGATGCTGCAAGATGAAAGGAAGGTGCAAGGGAACAAAATATCATGCAAAAAATCTGATTCGGTCACATAGTTGGTCAGGTATAATCAATATCCGGTTGAATATGATTCGACCAGGAAATACAAAAGATCAAATAAAGCAAGAGAATGTTAGAAAATTAGATTTTTTAGGGTTTAAAATTTGGTTCTAAGAGTTCGCGTCCACATCACAACCACATAAAAGTGATATTTAAAGTAAAGTTTCTTCCAAAAAAAATTAAACTAAAGTTCTCATGAAATAGTTACTTCTAGGGCTAGGCAAAATGGTTGATTTGACCGAACGGAACTGAACATTGGTGGTTTCATTTGGTTTGAATTTACTTAAGTAAATCAATTGGTAGCAATTTGCTCAAACCAACAACGTTAGCATCAGGCCCCTCCTCAGGCGAGTTAGAATACTCAAAAGGAGTATATTTATAGGCTAGTTAGAAATTTGATGAATTGATGGAGCCTTGATTTATTGACGGAGGCTAACCGCAACCCGCTTCCGTCAATATACCAAATTTCTCACCAGTTTATACAAATTTACACCGTCAATTCAATTTTCACTGCAATCCAGCACTGTCAATATAATCATCCAATAATTTTTTTAATTACTTTTATTATTACACATTAATTTTTTGTTAAACGTTTTTCACAATAATCATGATAAAAAGGGTCGTTAAAGATTTCTGTGTAAACAAAAAAAAATGGAATTTATTTTGTTGTTATTTCATACCCATTTCTTTAAAACAATTACTGAAAAAATGTAAAAAGAATATTTCAAATATGAGATTTTAAACTAGTAATTAAATCTATTTAAAAAACAATTGATCTAAAAAACGTTTAGCTGTTGAATCTTCATATTTTTTTTTATATGCAATATTGATGTCATATTAAACATCATAAAAAACTATGAATTTTGATATATAATTTTTAAAAAATTAATACAATAAATAAAAAAGTTATGACACTTTTTAAATAAAAATAGAAATAAATTTTCACATGGCACCAGAGTTTCTTTCATTTTGCGGCAGCCAATTCCATCCAAACTCTTCCGTCAATTCCCAAGGAATTCCCATCCCAACGGTGCCCCAACTAGGGATGGCAATTTAACCCAACCCGATGGATTCCCGCACCGAACCGAACCGGTCAAAATGGGGAAAACCGTTTTGACTGGATAACGGGTACGGGGCGGGGAATACCCGATTTATGTAAACGGGTAATGGGGCGGTTATGGGTTTATACCTACCCGCCCCGTTACCCACCCCGTTACCCGCCCCGTTTAATTTGGATACGGTTACCCGCACCATTACCCGACCCGCACAATTAACTTATATATTTTAATAGTTTATGTATTTATTATTTAATATATTAAGTATATATGAATTACATTAGTATATGACACTTATTTTCTCTAGTACTTTGAAACAATATTCAACTTATCGGCTATCCTTTGCAATTCTGATGATCGAGTTGGTGCTCAAAGTTCACTATTTTAGATTTTAAATTTTCAATATCATTCATCATCCTTCCTTTGTTAACTTCTATAATATTCCTTCAAAAAAACCTCTACAATATTTATTTTCTTCACATATTGATTATTTGATTTTCGTGACTTTCTTTACGCAATTTCCACAATGTGACTCTCTTAGTTTTTCACCCAATAACTTTCATAAAACTCACGTATGAGTTTAAAGTCAAAATATTGCGAAACATTACTCTAGCTTGCTTTTATTTATGTAATTGCTAATAATTTTGTAAAGGTGTATTGGATGATTAGATTAATTTTGATTGGTTGCTCTAATTTATATCAAGGTTTAAAATTTAAATTATGTTTTTTTTCTAAAACAGTAACTACAAGAATACCTGAATCATAGTATTAGAAGTGTCTTTTAAATAATTCCAAATCTATGATCAAAATAAAAGTTGTGGACAAAAATGCGACTCTAGTAACTTTAGTGTTTATAATTTTATTCAAATGTTATGTCGTAGTGATTACAAAACTTACTCATGGTAACTTATAGTCATATTTATGTTCATATCTTTTTTATTAGAGGTATTTTAGGGGAAAAACTTCCCATTTTCATTATGTTACTTGTATACATTATTGTTCTTAAATTAATTTAGATGTTGAATGTTGGTGGGGGTATGCTTATTGAATGTTTGGAAGTTAAATGTTTTTGTGATTCATATTTAGTTTTTACTATCGAGACAAGACTTACTCTTTTGATGTTGATGTGGTAAGAGATTCAATTTGAATCTAGACATATATAATTTGTGAATATTATTAGATTCAAACGATTGTAACTTTTTGTCATGTTTTAAAAAACTTTATCTGTGGTACTATTTAATTTTAATTTTTTTTTTTTAATTTAGGTGGTCAATGATAAGTAGTTAATAATCATTTTAGGATCTATACTAGTTTTGAAGGAAAAAAAATTATTTTTTAATAAAACGGTTACCCACGGGGAAACCGTTACCCGCGGGGAAAACCGTTACCCGCGGGTAAAAAATACCCGACGGGTAACGGGGCGGTTTCGGGGAATTTTTTTATCAAACGGGGCGGGTACGGGTAATGGTATACCCGACCCCGAACCGCCCCGTTGCCATCCCTAGCCCCAACCCATTTGGCCTATGGCACTCTTGAATACGATAGTATGGATTGGAGCTATTTTAGGAGTGAAAAGTAGGGGTGGTCGGGGTGAGCATATTGATTTGATTTAACCGAATCGATCAAATCAAACTAAACCAAATCAAAATCGAACCGTATGTAATTTGGTTTGAGTTTGATAGAATTTCTGTCAAATTGTATTAAACCGAACTGAAACCGATAAAAACCGAACAACACCGAACCAAACTAAAGAAATTTAATAAAACCTTAATACTAGTATATTATTTAAAAAATAAAATTTACAAACTGAACTAAATAACCAAGCATTCCAGCCCAGCTGGTGGTGAGGTTCAGTGGCGGATTTGGGAATTAGGTTTTGGTTGTTCAAAACCTTTTTACAATTACAAATTTAAACAATAATAAATAATTATATCAAATTTACACATATATACCTACATATTTTTCAAACTTTTGGGTATTCATGTGAATACCTTTGAACATGAGAGGCTCCGCCACTGGTGAGGTTACTATGCCTAGTGGGAAGTCTCGAGTTCGAAACCCGCTAGGCACATAAGGATTTGAACTCCACCCCCCCAGAACCCCTGGAGTAAAAAAAATGAAAAAAAATGAACTAAATCGAACTGAACCAAACTGAAAAATAGTATGGTTTTGGTTGATAATAACTCTCTCAACTCATTCTAAATCGAACCGAAACTGATAAAAAACTGAACCGAAAATCGATATGTTCACCCCTAGTGCAAAGCTCAAATATTGATTTTTAATCTTAGGGTTGCGTGCAACCTAAGTCTATTTTTGAAAACATCTTTTCAATATGAAAAAGTGATACTCCGTATTATTTTGGTAAAAGGGTCAAATAGGCCCTCAAACATACAACATAAAATGGTCAAATAAGCCCTTATATAGGAGGCTCTGTCCGGCCGTCGCCATATGTGGCAGTTCCTGGTGGATTTTTTTGATAAAATGTTTTGAGTGTCTTACTCATTAAGTCTACTCATACCAAATTTCAGCTAGCAATTCAATTAAGAAGACATTCAAATGAATTCTGAAAATAACTGCGCAGTTATCTTCAAGAATTCATTTGAATGCCTTCCCAATTGAAGTTTTAGCTTAAATTTAATATGAGTAAACAAGACTTAATGAATAAGATGTTCAAAAAAAATAATCAAAAAATTCTACCGGTAACTGCCCCAAATGGCGACGGCCGGACAGAGCCTCATATATAAGGGCTTATTTGACCTTTTTAAAGTAAATTCAAGGACATAGCTGACCTTTTTCCCTATTATTTTCTAGATTTATTCGTGAAAATTTCCTATGATTGAATGACTTCTCTGACCTCTACTATCCACATGTACTGGATATTTCCCATGGATTAGCTACGTAGCTTGTCTTTTGAACTTCAATTGTAGGGTAAAATGGTCTCTTTGGATTCAAATTAGGTGACCCGCCCATATTATATGGGCTCACGGGGAGCGGATAAAAGAGTCCACATCGCAAGTAGGCCTGTCAATGGGTCGGGTCCGGGTCGGAACGTAGTGTTCCAGACTCGGACACGCTGAGTTAGTAATGGACACAGACCCGACCCATTTACCCGGCGGGTCTGAATATTTGGACCCAGACCCGGACCCGTTGGGTCTCGGAACCGGGTCGGGTAGACCCGCCAAGTATGATATCGTTATAAATTTTGTGAAAACAACAAGACCTATATGTGAAATGTAAAGAAAAGTGTGCAAACTAAAAAGCAAAAATATATCTTCACTTTTTCAAAAAAAATGAAAGGTTTCTCATATTATTACTTGTATCCAATAAAGTATCAGTTCATGCATATAACTCCACAATATGTGTCGCTTTTTCTCGTACATAGGGATCGTAGAATAAACTTCAAATTAAGTCACAAAAGGTGTCTTGGACTATTGAGAGTATAAAAAACATATTGTACATCGTGTATGATAATGATATAATAATAATAATAATAATAATAATTATAATAATAATAATAATAATAATAATAATAATAATAATAATAATAATAATAATAATAATAATAATAATAATAATAATAATAATAATAATAATAATAATAATAATAATAATAATAATAATAATAATAATAATAATAATAAGGAATATTGTGTGTTGCTTACTGAGCCCAATACACATTTATCACTATGCATAAACAGCCAAAATGGGTATTAATTT